CCTGAGGCTCAAAAAGCAAGCTGGGCTGGTAGTCAGTGGCCCACAGTAACTCGTCTGTCTCTGCTTTTCCAGAGCTGGATTTACTAATGTGTGATACTGTTCTTGGCTTTTAAAAAGTTGGCTCTGGAAATTGAACTCAAGACTTTGTGATTGCGGGTGAAACACTCCCTCTTGCCGTAGCCATCTCTCCAGCTACAATAGAAAGCCTTCTAGTAGCTGCTTTTATGGAGCCTACCAGTTCCATTGTTCCAGCAGAGAAGGCAGATGGGATGAGTCTCCCTTCTCTGCCTCCCTAGCTTTTATCTCCTCTCTCAGACCTGATATGCTGAACTTTTGACCAACCAGTATTTCCAAACTGCCTGAAAATAACATTCCACTGAAATCCAGCTCTTATCAGTGCGTGCATGTGACAGGAACAATGGCTCCATTAATTGATAGCCAGCTTTGTTATTGGCACTGCAACCTGTCTCCCGAGTGCAGCAAGCAGTGTGTCAGCCTCGGATTTGCTATGCTGTTCTGCCAGCTACTCCTTCACAGACAAGTAATACAACGTGGCCCATCGCACAGTTAAAAACGACACTTGGTTGTCCACATGGCTTCTCTCTTGGTAGGGTAGGGAGAACTGGAGGCAAGTCACAGGAAAGCTGCTCAGAAAAAGAACCATCAGGACCCCTATGTGCTGATATACAAGTGTGAAACAGACACATTAAGATTCTAACAAAGTGTGTGTGTGTGTGTGTGCATATGCATGTGCAAGCCAGAGGTTAATAATGTAGGTTGTCTTCCTCAACCGCCCCTCCATTTTACTGTTTGTGACAGGTCTCCCACAGAACCTGGAGCTCTCTAACCACGCTAGAGTGGCTGGCCAGAAAGCTCCAGGGATAAGGATTAAATGTTGTCTATAAGGCCTAAATCATTTACTTTTTATCTACAGGAAAAAAAATCTCTGATGGGCAACCATAAATGTAGATGGAACATAAACGTGTCACTGTGTAGCTGTTTTATTATGAAGTGCACACATGAGAATGGAGGAAACACTCCTCTAGGGTTTGGTATCTATGAGCCAAGGACGGTGCTCACATCACTAATGAACTAATGAACAAGGGGCTTTTAACATGGTGGTGCTGGCACTGAAAGATGGCTTAGCTTTTGAGCAGTATGAGTGAGAGTAAGAGGAGGTCATATGTAAAGTTTCACAATGACAACTGTGCGAGGGAAAGAATTAGTTGATTGAGATGCAATTCCACTTATCAAACCATGGCTGAACTACAATTGTCCATCACCTACCAGTCTAAAAGTTCAGGAAAATTCAATTTCAACATTCCTAATAGATTTGGTTGTTAAATAGAGTTTATATTATTCTTAAGCCACATATTTTATTATTATTTATAAAACACATGTTATATATATTACATATACATTACATATTTTTAATATTTTATTTTATAAATACATAAATATATTAATCTTTGTTATATTCATACATTAATATATTATGTAATGATAAATACTATATATTATTATAGAATATATAATATTTTTTATATATTCTATAAATATATTTATATATAATTATATATAATTATATAAATCCATAATACATTATATATCACATATAATATAGCATATAGTATATCATATATGAGTATAGTATATAATATAATAATATACAATATACACAATATATTAAAATTATGCATATACTATATAAAATGTAATTATATATGACAATATATATATATTGGTTTTTCGAGACAGGGTTTCTCTGTGTAGTTCTGGATGTCCTAGAACTCACTCTGTAGTCCAGGCTGGCCTCGAACTCAGAAATCCACCTGCCTCTGCCTCCCAAGTGCTGGGATTAAAGGCATGTACCACCACTGACCGGCCTGACATTATACTATATTATATATAATATATGACATATAACACCTACCATGTAACATACAACATATAATATATAACATGCAATATATAACATACAACACACAATATATAATATTAACATAAAATATAACAATATTATATATGATACAATATCATATAATATAAATCTATAAACATTAAATATATATTACATAATGTGCATGTATTTATATGTATTGTATCAATAAAATATAAAATGTGTATGTCTTTGTGGTGTGTGGATGTGCACATATGTGTATGTGCATGTGTGCATGCATATGTGTGGGCACTCATATGTGTGTGTGTGCACATATCCTTCAGGTGTTAGTTAAAACTCCTTTTTCTTGTAGACAGTCGTTTTGAACTCCTCTGACATGGTTGGTACTTCGTTCATGTTTGCATTCTGGTGAAAATCACCTGAGAAAATCAAAGGATAGAGTTTTGGTTTGGCTCATGGTTTGAGCCCATGGCGGGTTGACTCTATCTCTGTGGTCTTGAGAAGAGGCTGGACAAAGAGATGTGAGGAAACAGAGATGCTCCCTTCATGGAGGCCAGAGAGAAGGCAGGTGTGGGGAGAATCCAGGTGTGGGTGTAGAAATGATAGGCCTATCAAAAACATACTCCTCCTCCCTCCAACCTCCTAAGACCCCACTCAGATATGAACTTGGTTGGGGGTTGGCCTGGTGCTGCTACGGATTCAAATGCTAAATGCTGTACACCAAGATCTGGATGCTCCAAGAAGCAGAAGTGAATTCGACTTAAGCCAGCTTGTGTTATGCAAACCTTGCTCCCCTGCTCCCCAATTGAAGATTAATTGGTTAATAAAAGGCTAGAACCTATGATTGGGCAGGAGAGAGAGAGG